TTATTAACGTGGATTTAATTTAGCAAATTTCACTTATCAACGAAAAAAGCAAAATTAAAGTCCGGTGAATAATTAATGCATTTACAGTTATGTGTATGTGCTTGATATACATACTCGGAATAAATGAAAATGTCTACATTCGTTTATAAATCTAGTATGAATATTAGGTCTAATTACCTTGTATTATATACCTGACCCTGTATTCGTTCTTTATGACATTCTTTCTATATTAATCAATGGGTTTTAATACACGCACGACCGAATAAAATCGCATCATTCTGTTAAAAATATATTCATATATAATGACAGTGGGAGATTTTTGGTTTATTATATGCATTCTGGAAAATGTTCACAAGTGCTACTGACAACTTGTTTGCGTATTATTTATGAAATCTAAACTATTATTTGAAAATAATGAATTTTTCTTTTGTATGTAATCCATGATTCCAGGATTTTTTTAATGAAAAACATGACATATAAATAATGTCGTTGTACTGACGTGTTCATGCTTAATCCTGATATATTAACTAGGTTATTTATAATTTCACATTTTAAATCGTATCAAAACGATATGTGAATAACAACTAATGCCAGATAATGTCACATATACTTAATCACAGTGCCGATATAACATGGCAATTCCACGACACTTACAGCTGTGGCTGCTTTATTAACCTACATACATAGAATTCCAATATGGACATTGAATTCAAGAAGACAGCCTTTGTAGTATTGCATTCATGCTAAATAATATTATAATCAGCTTTAGTTATGAAATCTCGTCATATCTGTCATCAATATAATTTTCGCAGAACGAGCTCCCTTTGCTATAGGCCGCCAGTCACCACAGCTTGGTTTTTTTTTTTTATAAGTCGCCAGCAATGTACAAGTGTTATTAATATTAGTATATATGTGACCAGCAAAAGTGTCGCGTGCAAAGATTCACTCAAAATTGACAGTAGTTAGAGGCCACAAGGTGATTGGTAAATATAAAACGGTAAATATCCTTCTTTCAAACTTACAGAGAAAGTTCGAAGTTCGTTTCGGACTAATCTGATTAAAATTTGACCTATTGTACGACATGTATTTTTTTATTTATTTATTTTAATTTTATTAGTACAGTATTTTATCATTATTTTGTAATGATTTCATTACATCTTATTTTGTATTATACATAATTGTATTTTGTATTCTTTTAGCAATCACTTTCATGATTACAGACACTTAAAAAACTATCAACAATAATAAATAACATTTATCGTAAAAAAATGGAAAAAATAAAGTCCAAAGTAGGATTATTTTAATCAGAATGGTGTCGGACGAATAGCCACGAGTATTTTTCACTGAGCACAGACATATATTCTGCAATATGGATATCACTTTTGGAGTAATGCATCGCATAAATATTTACTACTTATTTATACCTCGCCCGTAACAATTTTAAAAGAACTTGAGTGGCGTAACTTTAAATCTAATGTGCGTATTTGTAGCATTATCAACAACTTGCATGTTTAAGGGAGACATTATAAACATATAGATATTAGAGGAATTGTTCGAATACATTATTGGTATCGGTAATCACATGATCATAACAACCTTTCTGAAGGGTGGGGGACACAATATCAACTGTCCCCTCCACTTTCCTGACTTACCCAAATGTCAATAATAGGCTTATATCAAAGCCTGCGTTGTGTAAGGCCTTTGGTTCTGTGTACATGTACTGTATTCTTAATGATCAAGAATGAAAATCCCCAAGTATGCACCAAATGACTTCATTTTGGTTACATTTTTCAAAAATTTCTACCTTCTGAAATTTTAGAAACGTTTTTGACATTTCACTGCGTTTTTTATCTCTTTACTATAAGAAAAATATCATTATTCTTCTTTAAATATTATTCTACGCTCACCTTTTGTAACACAATGTTACATTTCTTTACATTAAAAAATAACCCATGCCGGATTATAAATCTTGCCACTCTTCTGGCCATGGGCTTTCATGGAAGTGTTTTTGTGATCATC